TAAGTCATGAAGTTACCAAAAAGGTGATTAAAAATGCCTTAAAACTGTGCATGCATGTTATATATTTTATATGAGTCGCATTTAAGAACATGTCTCTGAAATGGTTTTCAAAACTGTCCTGGAGCAGCCCAGCACTGTCTCCCTCATCTAACACACCCGATTTAACTCATCTGCTCATTAATAGAGACTTTAAGACCTGAAGTGGGTCAGAAAAGTGGTATCATTGATACTGGCCTTCAGTCATAAAGATGCCATTAAACAAATATATATATAAAAAAAACTGTCTTTATGTTGTTTGTAAATTAATTTGAAGATTGAATGTGAAATTATTGCAATATAAAAGTATATTTTAAAAAACTTTAACGTTAGGTGGGATTAATCGCGATTTAATTTCAGAAAAAAATTGCAATTAATTAGTTTTTTTGTTTTATCGATTGACAGCACTAATATATATATATATATATGTATGTGTGTATGTGTTTGTGTGTGTGTTTGTGGACAGAGTTTGGACAAATAACTGAACAAATGTTGTCTGTGACTTAAGTTACTCAATATTAACAGTTTTATTGTTGTATAAAAGCAAATCAAACTCACAGTTGGGGTGTTGATCTGAAAGTGAGCATGAGCATGATTTGGCCACATCCTGAGCCGAGCCTGTTCATGTGATTTTGCTGAACTTTTATATAATTAATAAAGTGCCTTCATTTAATTTAACAACCTAAAACAGCACATTAGCAGTCAATCTATCAAACAAATGTGAATGTCAGAGCGTTCCTGCAGTTCCTGATCTGAACATCCAGCCTCCTTCAAACAGTGTGGCAGGTGTTAACAGAAGTTCAGCACTGACTGCTGCTCTCGCACTTTCCTCATGTTAACACCCTCAAGTCTTTAGACAGGTGCTGAATGGACATTTCCAATGTCTAACTCTGAACTCAGAGAAATAAGATTCTCTGGTCTGATGAGACCAAGATAGAACTTTTTGGCCTTAATTCTAAGCGGTATGTGTGGAGAAAACCAGGCACCTGTCCAATACAGTCCCAACAGTGAAGCATGGTGGTGGCAGCATCATGCTGTGGGGGTGTTTTTCAGCTGCAGGGACAGGACGACTGGTTGCAATCGAGGGAAAGATGAATGCGGCCAAGTACAGGGATATCCTGGGCGAAAACCTTCTCCAGAGTGCTCAGGACCTCAGACTGGAACTAAGGTTTACCTTCCAACAAGACAATGACCCTAAGCACACAGCTAAAATAACGAAGGAGTGGCTTCACAACAACTCTGTGACTGTTCTTGAATGGCCCAGCCAGAGCCCTGACTTAAACCCAATTGAGCATCTCTGGAGAGACCTAAAAATGGCTGTCCACCAACGTTTACCATCCCACCTGACAGAACTGGAGAGGATCTGCAAGGAGGAATGGCAGAGGATCCCCAAGTCCAGGTGTGAAAAACTTGTTGCATCAAAAAGACTCATGGCTGTATTAGATCAAGAGGGTGCTTCTACTAAATACTGAGCATTTTTCAGTTTTTCTTTTTTAATAAATTTGCAAAAATGTCAACAATTCTGTGTTTTTCTGTCAATATGGGGTGCTGTGTGTACATTAATGAGGAAAAAAAATTAACTTAAATGATTTTAGCAAATGGCTGCAATATAACAAAGAGTGAAAAATTTAAGGGGGTCTGAATACTTTCCGTACCCACTGTAGATGCTGCTTTAAAATAGTTTCAACTGTTGAGCCTCATCCGAATTGAAACGTATTTTGTCAGATTATTAGCAAATCGCTCAGCAAATGCATGTCATGTCTCAAGTATGATCAATTTTCACTTTATTACAGGAGCTAGATGCATGTGATTCGCTGCCAAATGAGATGCTAATCGAACCAATTGTGTAATTAGTGAGACCAAAATCTGGCCAATGGCAAATCAGGACTGATGCTCATGGATTCGTTGACAGACAACAGCAGCCACTATCTGCAGCTGGCAGTCGTGCTGATTAGATAACATTATGAAAGCCTTGATTTGGATTCAGTATCAAAAAATGTTTTTGCTTTTCTCTCTATCACACTGGACAGAAGTGATTGCCACATGATCGTTGGTGCTTGTTGAGCTTTTGCAGTTGCCAATGCATTTGAAATTGTATTTTGTAAAAAGTGCCAGATGACACATTCAGATGGAACAAAATAAATCTTGACAGACTATGTGCTGCGCATTGTGACAAAACTGAATTACATTAAAGAAATAGTTTACTCCAGAATGAAAAGTTACTATTACATGCCCTCATGCTATTCCTGTATTTTTTTATTTCTTCTGTGGACAAAAAAAGACACATAAACCTTACACTCAAAGCAAATGTGAATTTTACTTTTAGAAAGTTATTAACACTTTACTTGAAACCTTTATGTATAATGCATTATATAGATATTCATAATGTACATTGTGATGCATTATAACTTTTCATGATTGTCACCAAAGATAAAATGCATTATATATATATATATTATTTTTTATTATTTTTTTGCAGGTTCTTTTTTACATATAAAATAGTTTGTTTGTCATGTTTTAGTGCATTAAACTTTCTAAAGATGTAACCATGAATAGATGAATACATAATGAATGGAGTATTATAATATAATAATATGAAATTAAATACAATCTAAATAAAATAAATATTAACTATATTTATTTATTTATTTCAACTAGTTACCAAGGCAACATTTCTAATTTGAATTTTGTTGATGTGCACAGATAACTGAATTAAAAATACTAAAATTAAAATAAAAATAGTATTTCAGTGATACTAAAAATAACACTGAATGTATACCTGTGGTTAAAGAGATCATATAATCCATTATGATGTGCATTACAAGGCATACTACACTGAACAAAATTATAAACGCAACACTTTTGTTTTTGCCCCCATTTTTCATGAGCTTAACTCCAAGATCTAATACTTTTTCTATGTACACAAAAGGCCTATTTCTCTCAAATATTGTTCACAAATCTGTCTAAATCTGTGTTAGTGAGCACTTCTCCTTTGCCGAGATAATCCATCCACCTCACAGGTGTGGCATATCAAGATGCTGATTAGACAGCATGAATATTGCACAGGTGTGCCTTAGGCTGGCCACAATAAAAGGCCACTATAAAATGTGCAGTTTTACTGTATTGAGGGGTCCGGGGGGGTCCGAAAACCAGTCAGTATCAGGTGTGACCACCATTTGCCTCACGCAGTACAACACATCTCCTTCGCATAGAGTTGACCAGGTTGTTGATTGTGGCCTGTGCAATGTTGGTCCACTCCTCTTCAATGGCTGTGCGAAGTTGCTGGATATTGGCAGGAACTGGAACACGCTGTCGTATACGCCGATCCAGAGCATCCCAAACATGCTCAATGGGTGACATGTCCGGTGAGTATGCTGGCCATGCAAGAACTGGGATGTTTTCAGCTTCCAGGAATTGTGTACAGATCCTTGCAACATGGGGCCGTGCATTATCATGCTGCAACATGAGGTGATGGTCGTGGATGAATGGCACAACAATGGGCCTCAGGATCTCGTCACGGTATCTCTGTGCATTCAAAATGCCATCAATAAAATGCACCTGTGTTCGTTGTCCATAACATACGCCTGCCCATACCATAACCCCACCGCCACCATGGGCCACTCGATCCACAACATTGACATCAGCAAACCGCTCACCCACACGACGCCATACACGCTGTCTGCCATCTGCCCTGTACAGTGAAAACCGGGATTCATCCGTGAAGAGAACACCTCTCCAAAGTGCCAGACGCCATCGAATGTGAGCATTTGCCCACTCAAGTCAGTTACGACGACGAACTGCAGTCAGGTCGAGACCCCGATGAGGACGACGAGCATGCAGATGAGCTTCCCTGAGACGGTTTCTGACAGTTTGTGCAGAAATTCTTTGGTTATGCAAACCGATTGTTGCAGCAGCTGTCCGGGTGGCTGGTCTCAGACGATCTTGGAGGTGAAGATGCTGGATGTGGAGGTCCTGGGCTGGTGTGGTTACACGTGGTCTGCGGTTGTGAGGCCGGTTGGATGTACTGCCAAATTCTCTGAAACGCCTTTGGAGACGGCTTATGGTAGAGAAATGAACATTAAATTCACGGGCAACAGCTCTGGTGGACATTCCTGCAGTCAGCATGCCAAATCTCTGGCATTGTGCTGCATGATAAAACTGTACATTTTAGAGTGGCCTTTTATTGTGGTCAGCCTAAGGCACACCTGTGCAATATTCATGCTGTCTAATCAGCATCTTGATATGCCACACCTGTGAGGTTGATGGATTATCTCGGCAAAGGAGAAGTGCTCACTAACACAGATTTAGACAGATTTGTGAACAATATTTGAGAGAAATAGGCCTTTTGTGTACATAGAAAAAGTCTTAGATCTTGGAGTTAAGCTCATGAAAAATGGGGGCAAAAACAAAAGTGTTGCGTTTATAATTTTGTTCAGTGTATAATGTGTTTTATAATACATTATATTTAAAGGCTTTCTAAATTTTCATTACATATAAAGGTATTTCTAAAGAGAATTTGAGTGAGTCTGTTGAGGTGATCATGCACATCTTACCACAACAAGCCAAGCATAAATTCAATTAAAGATTATTGTATAATAAAACATTAACATTTTGTAATTATATATTTGTGATATGGTAATAAATTGATAATGACAGTATTTATGTTTTGTCAATGTTCCATCTGATAATGATCCTAATGAAAAGTGCTCCAGCAAACTCTGTTGCTATGGTTACCTCCTCAAGTGAAAGCACTTTTTGTATGCGAGTGTGTGTGTGTTTACCAGCAGGAGAAAAAAAAAAAAACACACTCTATGACTGCTTTTTAAATTAACTTTTGTGGTTACTGTAAGATTGTTTGAAAGAATATATAACCGTCTGCTTAACAGTCGAAAATAATCTTCTGCCACTAAACCACTGAGGCGGTTTTGTCGTGGTCCTCACTCACGGTCTGCTCTGCTCTGCAGGGAGTTTGCACGTTGGAAGGTGAGGAACACGGCCATCGAGAGGCGGGATCTGATCCGGAATCCTCTGCCCTTGATGCCGGAGTTCCAGCGCAGCATGCGGATGCTCGGACGACGGCCGTCCACGCAACAGTTCATCGACACCATCATCAAGAAATATGGGACGCACATCTTGATCTCAGCCACGCTGGGAGGTGAGTGCTGCCACCGACATATACACAGCCATCTTATTATGGATTCATATTGAATGCAGACTCAATGTGATAGAGGAACATGGATATTTCATGCAGTCTGACCGTAGTGGTGCCTGCCTAATTTGGCAAAGTGCACATTACAACCAAGTAATAGACTAGTTTGCACCAAAATATTGTTTGGTTTTAAGGCACTACAGGTGAATAGGGTAAAAACTTTAACTAATAGATATCATCCTACTTTCCCCAGTTGATTATTCACTATTAATTGATTGTTTTGTATTATAAGTTTTCTGAAATGTTATGTTTAAGTATGCAACTGAGGCATTATCTAATTAAATATGCATACAAATTTGCATATACGTTTCCAGAACAGTAATCTGAAACGTATTATTATTATTATTATTATTATTAATTGTTTGTTTCTTTGTTTCTTTTGACATATTAAAGTACAAAATAAAGTTATTTGTTTTTTGTTTTTTTTCTCTTTTCATCATCCTGTTAAATTAAAAAATACTGTCAAGAGACAGAAAAAAACAACCAATACATATTCATCATGTTTTTAGGAAATAAAATATTGTATAAAATCAGGCGATTGTTATATGAACAAACCGATGCAAATAGATAAAGTGAAAAAATATATATATATAAAGTGTATGATGCATGAACAAACGCTTAAGTAAAATCTTTCAGAATATGAATATGAATAAAACTGTAACATTTGGTGAATAAGTGTTGCTGAGATATTTATTGTAATTGAAATCTAGAGACACAAGTAGATAAAGTGCAAAAAATAAATAAATACATAAATAAATACTTAAATGTGTATTTTTTGGGTATTTTATACCCAATATAATAAATTCTCAAAATGGAGCAGTGCCTGAAACAACAACGTTTTTCTGTAGTGCCTTGCCTTTAGAGTGGATAAGTCTATTTATTTTCCTGTCCTAACTATGCTCAGTTTTATGGTTGCTATATCTGTTTCTGTGGTTCGTGAGATTCGGTGCTGTGGAACGTTTGAGAACGAATCATTCTGTTAATGTCTGTAAATGCCAATTCATAATCACATTTCGTGTGTTTGTACGGGGCAAAACATATCGGTTACGTATGTAACCCTCGTTCCGTAAGGAGGGAACGGAGACGTCACGTCAGTGACTGACGAATCGGGATCTCGCTTAGAGAGACCAATCCCCTTAGAGTGTAAACTAAACGAGCCAATGCACATTGGCATGCGATGATTGCATCCAGCTGCCGCTGCTCACAGCGTGAGCATAAAAAAGCAGCCGGTGCAACGCATACCAGGTTTTCGCTGAGGAGCCGAGCCGGTGACCCGGCCGCTCAGCGGTGGTACAGCAGCCGTGGCGACGGGACGTTCTCCGTTACATACATAACCAAGACGTTCCCTTTCAGTCGGTCACTCCGAGTCACTGACGAATTGGGATCCCTACCAAAGCGCCATGGATGCTGCCCCTTCCAGTGTCCTGTGTGAGCCGCCTGTGCCCCTTTGTGGTGTAGGGTCATGGTCAGGTCATGCTTCTAGGTGCTGTACATGAACTGGTGAGCTCCTCATGCACCTCCGGGAAGAAAGGCACCGAGGCGGGGCACTGAGAACCAGCGCAAGCCACCCCGAGAAACTAATCGTCCAACCTCGAGGGCCCGGGATGCGGTGGAAGTCTCCACTCGAGCCCTACCCTCTCGGCGGCCCAGAAAAGCATAGCCGACATCTCTGGATCCGATTCAGGCCTTGCCACCGTCCCGGAGGGCTGCAGCGCAGCCGGATCTTGCTCTCCAGAGAGCTCTCCCTCAGATGCAGTGATCGACATCCAGTCATCGGGAGGAGACCGAAGGATACCGTTGGTACGCTCTTTGAAGAGGGCCCAGCGCATTCCTTTGGCGGCTCAACTGGTTGCGAAGTGCTAGAGGAGCTATGGTCCCCTGAGGGTTGGTTCCACTCTAACCACTCTAACCCTCAGACCACCCGTACTACTGCCCGAAGTAGTCTACGACAGGCTGCTGCCAGGACGAACACTAGATCGCGGCAGAGGCAACGGAGCCCCTCCCCCCTGGAGGAAACGGAGCCTGGCCTGCAGCTCTGAGATGGTCATCTTCCCGCAATGGGAACATGACTCAACCGCGAACGCCACCTCAGCGTGTTTAATGCGCAGACACGTGAGGCAGCGACCGTGACCATCACCCGGCGCCAGGTAACGACCGCATCCAGAAATGCATGGGTGAAACGGCATCTTTAAAAAGACGATCCGTCATCTTTACAAAGACGCACCCGCTTATTGTACTCTTTTAGAGAAATTGGCTCTTTTAGGGAAATGCTCTTTTAAGTGCTGAGATGCACCTGGGAAATGGCTGCTTGCAGCACGACAGGGGTTTAGTGCAGCCTGAAGTGCGCAACCCACTCGACACAGGAACGACCACCGCTGAAGCGCCGTCCGCCAACACAAACAGCTCCCGAGAGTGCACTAGACTCGTCACACACGAAGCAGTTTGTTAGGAGCAGAACGATGTTGTCGCTCGGCTTCAAAGCGAAAAGCTGGTATGCGTTGCACCGGCTGCCTTTTTATGCTCACGCTGTGATCAGCGGCAGCTGGATGCAATCATCGCATGCCAATATGCATTGGCTCGTTTAGTTTACACTC